AGTCGCGCAAGGGGCATGGCTTTTGCGTCATCGAGGCCTTTCGTTTTCTTGTTCTGTTTCTTGTCGGTTTGAGAGTTGGCCTTGATTTTCCTCCATCGGGCACTTGGACGCAGGGCGATGAGGAATTTACTGTCTAAATCTGCCAGCCTTGGCTTGAACGTATCTTCAACATCTAGTGAGTGGTCGTTTGGGTCTACATAGTCTTCCCCCTTTTCAATCATAGGAATGCTTTCCACCTCGAACACCAGAGTCATTGTAGATGTATTGTTGTGTTTTGGGTTTTCAGTTTCGGTTTCGGATTGACATGTGAGGATGCCAGAGGGCGCCGCTCTGGTACCTAGGATTTCAAGGCGACTGTAAAATAAAGGAGTGTGTGTTAGGTAGCCGTGGAGTGCGGTTGTTGTGCTTTCTTTCGGCGCGTCGCGCCAACCCGCGTGTTCGGGCTGGTCGGTGTCCCCGCCGGCCGCGTACATCTCCGTCGGCCGTCTTCTTCTTCTTCTGCTTCGTTGGGACCAGCCAGCCCCAACACAGCAATGGCGACGAGGACTTGTAAGAACCCATTTCGTTCTCCGTGTTCGTCTTTTTCTTGCTTCTAATGGACCTACCCGGCTAACCCTAGACGCTCTTTGTTCCCAGCAAGGTGGCTACTGCGTGCTGCGTCGCTTCATTCCTTCTTCATTCAAGTACGCCGCCTCAGCCTTCGTCTTCAAACAGTATACAGGCGTAATTTTCTTCTCGTCTGCGCCTCTCCATTCTTCTTGCTTGAAATGGCATCTCCTATTCCACCTCCCCTATTTCTTCATTGGCACGGAGATCCGCCACTTCCGTGGGCGGACTGGAAATTAGTGTTTCAGGCCTACGCAGACGCGGTCGCGGACGACGCCAGCAAGCCCGAGCGTCACAAGGCCCTGCTGCTCAACGCGTTGGGCCCGGCCGGGTTAAAGCTCTTCTATACTTTGGAAGCCACCAACGCGTCGCCGACGCCAGCGTCGGGCGATGCTTTCAAGAATGCTGTTGCTCTTTTGGATGAGCATTTTAAAGATGTTTCGTGCGATTACCTCGCACGCGTGAAATTCCAAGAAAGGCGACAATTGCCTGCTGAGCCAGTCTTCGAGTTCATTACTTCTCTTCGAACTCTCGCCGCGTCGTGCGGCTTCGGCAGCAACATACTCCGCACGTCAACTTGCTCACTGCGCCCAACCTGTCAAGCATTGAAATTGCCAAAATGATAGCACCAGATCTTTCGCCCTCCGAAGCACAAGACCTCCACCGTCTGTTGACATCCTATGCGGACATATTTGATCTTGACAACCGCCCTTTAGGCCAGACATCAGTTGTGACCCGTCACATCAACACCGGCGATGCCAACCCAATTCATCGCCGCCCTTACCGCGTCTCCGCTGCCGAACGCTCTGTCATCCAGAAAGAGGTCGAGAAAATGCTCGCCAAAGGCGTCGTCGAACACTCATCTAGTCCGTGGGCATCCCCGGTCGTGCTTGTCAAGAGAAAGGACAACACATGGCGGTTTTGCGTCGACTATAGACATCTCAACAAGGTCACTAAGAAGGACGTTTACCCTTTACCAAAAATAGATGACGCCCTTGACTGCCTTCATGGCGCAAAGTTTTTCTCGTCCATTGACCTTCGATCTGGTTGTTGGCAGGTCGCTGTTGACCCACGGAACCGAGAAAAAACAGCATTTGTAACCCCCGATGGGTTATACCAATTTAAAGTAATGCCGTTTGGGCTTTGTAATGCGCCGGCCACCTTTGAGCGCATGATGGACTCCCTTCTGCGCGGCTTCAAATGGTCCACTTGCTTATGCTACTTAGATGATATAATTGTTTTTTCACCGACGTTCGCAAGCCATCTAGAGCGACTGTCCAGTATTCTCCAAGTATTTCGCAACGCTGGTCTCCAGCTGAACTCCTCCAAATGCCGTTTCGGCCGCTGCGAAATAACTGTACTTGGTCACCTCGTTAACGCATCTGGGGTACAGCCCGATCCGGACAAAATTCACGCATTGACTCAATTTCCCGTGCCCTCTTCTCATAAGGATGTCCGGAGCTTCCTTGGTTTGTGCTCCTATTTCCGCCGCTTCATCCGAAATTTCGCCGATATTGCGCGGCCTCTCACCGAGCTTCTTAAAAAAGACGTCCCATTTACTTGGAATTCGCCTCAGAGTGCTGCACTTTCGGCGCTCATTGCAGCCCTCACGACTACGCCAATATTAGCCCACTTCGATCAGACTGCCCCGACAGAAGCTCGTACGGACGCGAGTGGCCACGGAATTGGTGCTGTTTTAGCTCAGCGTCAGCATGGACGTGACTGTGTCATCGCCTACGCCAGCCGCCTTTTATCCCCTGCCGAGAGGAACTATTCCATCACCGAAAGAGAGTGTCTTGCTCTTGTTTGGGCTGTCGCTAAGTTTCACCCGTACCTCTTCGGCCACAGTTTTACGGTTGTAACTGATCATCATGCACTCTGCTTGCTTTCCTCGCTAAACGATCCCACGGGACGTCTCGGTCGTTGGTCTCTACGCCTCCAAGAATGCACCTTCTCGGTCGTCTATAAATCTGGTCACCTCCATCAAGACGCCGACTGCCTGTCACGGTATCCAGTGGATCCACCAGACGCCACAGAGAGAGCTATGGAGGCTTGCGTCTTATCAATATCAGACTTTCTTGATATCGCTTCTGAGCAACGCCGCGACCCGGATTTACTTCCCATCATAGAAAGCCTGAGTTCCGCTACTCCACCCACTTCTCTGAACTTGTATTTCCTTCATGAAGGAGTTCTCTACCGCCACAACATGCGCCCTAATGGCCCTGACCGCCTTCTCGTCGTGCCTTCCCATTTGCGTGTAGATGTTCTCCAACAGCTTCACGATGAACCTGCCGCTGGTCACCTGGGAGTCACCCACACTTATGATCGCGTCCGGCGCCGTTTTTTCTGGCCACGCCTATATCGCTCTGTGCAAAAGTATGTCGCCAGCTGCGACCTTTGTCAACGTCGAAAACGACCAACATCGCTTCCAGCTGGCCTTCTTAACCCTATTGAGATCCCTGCTGAACCATTCTACCGCGCAGGGCTCGACCTTCTCGGGCCATTTCCCACTTCTGCATACGGGAACAAATGGGTTGCCGTGGCGACCGACTACGCGACACGTTACGCGATCACCCGCGCTCTTCCAACCAGCTGCGCTACCGATGTCGCCGACTTTCTGCTACATGACATCATATTGCATCACGGGGCTCCTCGACAGCTCGTTACTGATCAAGGCCGATACTTTTTATCTCGCGTCGTCCAGGATATTGTACGTTCCTGTTCCACGAACCACAAGTTCACAACGGCATACCATCCACAAACTAATGGACTTACAGAGCGCCTGAATCGCACTATCACGGACATGTTGTCAATGTATGTTTCTCCAGACCACCGTGACTGGGACGCCACGTTACCCTACGTCACCTTCGCTTACAACTCCTCCAGACATGACACCGCAGGCTATTCCCCGTTCTACCTTCTTTATGGACGGGAACCCTCCCTGCCTCTTGATACACTCCTTCCCGCTGGTTCAAGCTCCCCTGTCACATACGTCCGCGATGCCATAGAGCGAGCCGACGCAGCACGACAGATTGCCCGAGAACGACTCATGCTTTCTCAAGCCTCTCAGAAAGATCGATACGATCGTCACCACCGCGAAGTTTCGTATGCACCAGGTTCTCTCGTACTCTTGTGGACCCCATGTCGTCACATCGGCCTCTCAGAAAAACTTTTATTTCGCTATGACGGACCATACAAAGTCCTTCGCAAGATCACCAACCTCACCTACGAGATACAGCGAGTCGTCGACGAAGCGCACTCAATGCCACCACCATCCACTCTTGTGCACGTCGTCAGACTGAAGCCTTATGTGTCACCCAACACTCCCCTTTCGTGACAAGCGCCGGGTGGGCGCTTTAACGCTGCGGGGTAGTGCCACAAGGCAGTAGTGGGATTGGGGCATAAAGCGGTAGAGGGTCCCAGGCTGAAAGAAAAGACTACGAAGTGGATAGAGACTGGTTCCAGCCCGCCAGTGCGCCAGGCATTGTCATCGCGTGTAATCGTTGTAAATATCTGTAAATATACGTTTTCTTGTAAGAATATCGACATTCAAAGCATCCAGAAGTGTTTGAACAAACAGCACTTGGAGCCCATATACACGGGACCAATGCTTATTGAAAAAGACACCAGGCCCGGCAAAGAATACAAACTGTCGCCCTCCCAGAGCGGATTCAGAAAATTCTAAATAGGTGCCCACTGCTAAAATACGAAATCTGCAAGCAAGGGTGGGCACCCGAGCCCCCTGATACAAAACACTGCCAGCCGTGAACTTTGGTACACCCCAACAACTACGTAGGGCTTCCCGCTCTAAGAGAAGGAGGGGGCCTACTTTGTATGCTGGTCCACCAGAGAATAGTACACATCCGAATTCAAGAATCAGACGAACGTACATGCGACAAATCATGATCAGCGCACCTCTGCGAAGACCGGAACGGAGGCGGCCAAGCCCACCCATCATTCCAACGGCGCGTGCAGCCTCAACTTCAATATATTCAACGTGGTCACGCCAGCTCAGCCCTCGATCACACAGCGCACCCAGTTATTCAATACAATCAACCTGGAGTATTATTTCTTGATGGTACTGAAGAGAAATAGTTCTCTTCTTTATTCCGAATGCACTGCTAATCCCCTCATGATGGTACTGCGTATGGTGACTATCTGCGTCGTTCACACAATATTTAACAGACCGTACGCCTACTTGCGTCGAAGCCGAGTGCTCGCCCGTCGTTCTAAGTGGTCCCGACTTTCTTGGCGTCGTACAGGCGTGGTCGCTCAAGACGCATGTCTACGTGCTTCCGACCGTCGCGCACGCACTAAACATCCAGTGACCACGGAGCGTTGGAGACGGCCAACTAGTCATCGTCCTCGCACCGTCTCGGGAACTACTGCAGCAGATGCACCGCCAGTTCCACGACCTCGGGAAGTTATTGGGACTGCGCAGCGTCTGCGTTCATTCCGGCGTCGCCAAGGACACGCAGTACGCCGAGCCCGCCGTAGGATGCGACGTCTGCGTCGGGACTCCAGGTCGCCTCCAGCAGTTCGTGACGGCACGGCAGTTGAAGCTTCTCCCATGCATGATCCTTGTCGTCGACGGCGCAGACCGGATGCTGTCCATGGGCCTGGAGCACGAGCTGACGCAGATTGCCCACAAGATCAGGCCGGACCACCAGACGGTGATGTGGGTCACCTCGTGGCTGAAGGGCCCGCAGCGCCTCGTCGATTACATGCTCGAAAACTACGTCCAGGTAAACTTCAGCTCCGCGCAGCCTCACGTGGTGGGCGTCAGCAGAGCGTGCACGTCGTCAAGCAGACCGAGAAAGAGCACGTGCTCGCCAAGCTCCTCAAGGACCTGCTCAGGGACGAGGTCGGAAGGGTTGTGGTGAACTCAAAGACACGGGAAGCGGTGCGCAAGGTGGCCTTGCAGCTGCACTCGGTTTCCCAGATTCGGAAACCATCGCCCATCGCCCGGAAGTGCTGCGCTAAAAACGCCGGAACAGGATGCACATAACTGACGTAGTGCTGGTTCTCTCCATGTGCCTCGAAACCACCACCTCCTCTCATGCTCCGCCCGAGTCACGTGTGCACAACGAAGAAATAACGCCTTGTTTTGCACGTTCATATAAAAGAAGTGCTGCGACGGCAATAATAAACCCCTTCCGTTTAATTGTACAACTCATTTTATTTCTACATTGCATATTGCCTACTACGCGGAATTATTGGTACGAGTAGACGGCCTCATGCAAGAAACAGTGGAGTTCGCCCGCCGAAGCCGTCGCTTGACCGAGGTTTGCCTGCGCTAGCGACTGCTCGCGCGATGGCAATCTACGTCGCGTCACGTCGCTCGTCACTGTCACGAGCATGTTTGTGGTTATAGGGTTTGACCTTAAGTACCGTGCTTCATCGAGGTAGGGCAGGGTAAACTAGTCGGTATTTACGGTCACTTTCGAGACGTACCCAAACGTTTCTTTTTTAGGACTTACTGTCCTCATTGAGATAGATGTTTGGTCTATGCTTGAGAGTAGTTTCCAGTCCAAGTGATCGCAGAAGGCTAAAAGATTCGGTGCGTCCCTTTCGGGAAAGCTAGGTATTCTCGACAAACTGTTTAGGGCACATCCCTATAGGCCACCAGTAAAGTCGCCATTGATGTGGGCATGCCTCGGACAGCTTCAAGACAGGTATTGTTCAACTCGTATGCTAGCAGCAACGTATCTCGGCTGCCCTCGGGCCTTCTCGATGACTTTCACACTCTTCACAGAACCTATGCAAGGCTTATTGTCGGGTAAAGAAGCACCTTAACGTATGTGATATAGCGTTGTACTCTGATGATGACCAGGAAGGAAGGAAGGAAAATAGCAGGAAAAGAACGTCAGGGAGGTTAACCAGCTTATAGGCAGCCAGTTTGCTACCCTGCACATGGGAGGGAGATTGTTAGTTGAAAGATAGAGATGAGAGAGGGAAAATAGAAAAACACAGCACATCAGGCAGCACACGCGCGCACACTCAGTCATAGTCCTGTCTTGTCTTTCGGGCTGTGTGACATTGCTGTTATAGCCACTTGTTCAAGTCTGTGTCGCGTAGGAATTTCAACAGTGTTTTTGTCCCCTTCTGTTACAATGTCTTCTCTCGGGTACTTGAAAGAATATGTCTAAAGACATTTGGCTGTTGTCGATGCGCGCAAGAGCGGATGCCAGTGACTGTCTTTGGATGTCATACAACGGACAGTCGCAGAGGATGTGTTGCAGCGTCTCTTCGCAACGACAGGCATCGCAGAGAGCGTTGTCGGCCATTCTTATGACAAATGAATAAAATTTTGTAAATGTCATTCAATGGTAACTGGGTAGTGGGTCGCCAAATGCTTATAATCAATCACAAAGCTCTCAGCCATAACGCCTTTTCTTCACTAGCCACAGTATCAACAAAATTAACATAATTCCTTACAGGTGTGTAGCGCATAGCACGCTTCTTCGAAGATTGGGTACTTCCCTAATTTGCAAAATTATGAATTATGATGCAGTGTGTGCCACGCAAATGTACTTTTAGTGTTTGTTCTCCAGAGTGTTTAATAAGGGATCTAGAAGGGCCGCTCTTCCAGCTTTCGCAGTGACTATGCGACACGGTGCGTGCAGGCCTGGCTTTAATTTTATTTTTTGTGCGCATATACAAAATGCGGTGATGCTTGTGGAGCCGTGCATAGATAAATAAAACTAATGTTATTACAGGTAGCATCGCCTATAGCCTTACATGTCACTCATGCTATAGCAACAATACGATAATAGGACACCATCGGATATTATGTGACGTAAAGAAGAAAAGAGAAAGAAGAAAGGAACAGTTGGAAAACCAAGAAAACAAAATACAACATGACAATGAATTATAACAGCATTGTAAACTGTGCGGAAAAAAAGAAAAATATGAAATATATTGTGAGAATTCATTGTACGTCATCTTCCTCATCTATCAATAACCATCATCAGTCTTCGGCCCGTTCCTCTTCATCATCGGCGCCATCTTGCTGTTACTTGAATAAAGCGTCAGCTGAACCCTGGTATTTCAAGTTGTGGAAGGTGCTTCCCGATCTCTTCGACCTCTTTCCATCCAAAGCCAGCTACTGGAGCTCCGTTCGGGACGTCACTTACGCCAGCAGAGCACCATGGCGCAAGAGCAAGCCCAACCGAACCACCCGTCGGCGCAACCACCAGCCGCCAACCCTGGCCCGGTCAACAACCCCCCTCGGGAGCCTCCAATCTTCTCCGGTCTGCCTGGCGAAGATGTCGAAGACTGGCTCGACAACTATGACCACGTAGGTGTCTACAACAACTGGAACGAGGCATCGAAATTAGCACGCGTCCAGTTTTAGGTCTCTCAGGTTGCCAATACGTGGTTCCTGAATCATGAGAGCGACTTCCGCGATTGGTCTTCCTTCAAAGACCAGCTCCGACGCATTTTCGGCACACCGACCGTCCGTTCAGAAGTTGCTCGCAAGAAACTGGCAGAACGCGTTCAACATTGCGGTTAGTCCTACACTTCCTATATTGAGGATGTGCTTGCACTTTGCCGCCGTATCGACGACACCATGCCAGAAGGTGATCGTGTCCGGCATCTTCTGAAGGGTATCGGACCCACCGCTTTCAACGCCCTCGTCGCACACAACCCTTCGACGGTTTCTGACGTCGTCTCGGTATGCCAGCGGCTTGATACCTTGCAGTGAATCCGCCTGCGACCCAACTTCTCTGAGAACCCCCTGGCAAACAGTATGGAGCTCCGATTCATCATTCGAGCCATAATTCGTGAGGAATTGCAAGCCTACACCTTACCTCCTTCTAAAAACGTTCCCGCTCAACCCGCCTCTAGCGATCTGCGTGACATTATTGGGGAAGAAATATCAGCGTTTCAAAGCACCCACAGTGCTCCACCATGCACCCAACCCGCTTCGTATGCACAGATCGCTGCAATGCAACCCTCGCCGTCTCAAGTACCACCACCTGTACCTGATCACGAACATCTCGCACCTCTAGTCGCCCGTCCACCGAACCCTACCTACCGTTCTTCCTTGCGGGCCCCACGGCCTATTTGCTACTACTGTGGAACTCGAGGACACATTTCCCGGGTCTGTCGACGTCGGCAGCAAGATAAACGTCGTGGTTATACCGCTTTTGAACGAGACGACACATGTGCTCGAGGTTACTACCGTTATGCCGACAGTCCTTCTCACCACCGATCACCGTCTCCTGTGCGCATTTACAACACAATACACGTGCATCCCGACCACGCTCCCCTTCGCCACTCCGACGCTCTGTTTCACCACTTCGGCCTGTCTCTCAACTGGCTGCCCAGCGATCGGAAAACTAAACAGTGCAGTTTTTGGAGGGAAAACTGCATCGCGGCGAAATGACCCAAGTTCTCCTGAAAGACCGTCAAACATGTTATTGGTAACTGTACAAGGTGTGTGGGTGTTGGCTTTGGTGGACACGGGAGCAACTATTTCAGTTATGCGTGCCGACTTGTGTTCTCGATTGCGGAAAGTGAAGACACCCTACCTTGGATCATCTTTGATTGGGGCCAATGGAGCAATAATTAGACCATCGGCCCAATGTACAGCGCGTGTCTTCATTAATGGTATTCTTCATCACATCACCTTTGCTGTCTTAATTTCATGTGCTCATGAACTAATTTTAGGTTGGGACTTTCTCTCATCAGCATCTGCATTAATTTCTTGCCGTCAACGTGTAGTCGAAATGACTGAGACCGATCACTGCAGCGAACGCGTCGACGAAAAACCATTGCGTTTCTTCACAGCTTCCGAACCCATACTACTCCCGGGTCAAGAACAACTCACCACCATCACTTCTCCGAATATTGCCAATGGTGACGTCCATATCACCCCTTCCAGCTGCTGTCTAGCTCGCGGCGTTGTAGTCCCCTCCAGCCGGGTGCGGTTCAAAGACAGTGCTGCGATAATCCTTGGCCTGAACCCTACCCCAGAGCCTGTCCTCCTACCCCAAGGTTCTGCAGTGTCATGTTATGTGGATACCCAACCGGTATCTTTGGTGTCTCTTGACGCCTTGACAGCTCAGCCACAACAGGCCCAGTCTGTTACTTCCTCCTCCTTTGCTCCCGGGATAAATCCTGACCTTTCTGCTTCTCAGCGTGAGGCGTTGCTGAATTTGCTAACGAAACACCAGGCCTCCTTCGACGCCAATGCTTCGGCACTAGGACAGACCACAGTTACGCATCATCGAATCGACACTGAAGGTCAGACTGTTGTACGCCGTCGTCCCTACCGAGTCTCCTTGGCCGAGCGCAAAATCATCGAGGAGAACGTGACCGATATTCTAAACAGAAACATCATACGACCCTCTACCACTTCTTGGTCATCACCCGTTGTGTCGGTACAAAAGAAAGATGGATCGGTACGATTTTGTTGATTACCGCGCGCTCAACAAGATTACCCGAAAGGATGTATATCCAATGCCCCGTATAGATGATGCACTTGACTCATTTCAAGGCGCCCAATACTTCTCCACCCTTGACCTTCGGTCCGGGTATTGGCAAATACCAATGAACGAAGCAGACAAAGAAAAGACCACCTTTTCTACGCCGGACGGTCTTTACGAGTTTAACGTAATGCCATTCGGTCTATGTAATGCTCCCGCCACATTTGTAAGGATGATCGACACTGTTCTTCGTGGCCTCAAGTGGAAAACTTGTCTATGCTACCTCGATGATATCGTCGTGTTTTCTTCCACTTTTGATGATCATCTGCAACGCCTAGATCAAGTGCTCACATGTCTCTCTAACGCTGGACTTCAACTAAACACAAGGAAGTGCCGTTTTGGCAACACAGGTATAAAAGTTCTAGGACATCTCGTTAGTAAATATGGCATCCAGCCCGATCCGGACAAAATTTCCGCAGTCCTCAACTTTCCGCGACCCTTCGTTCCCAACAACTACGCAGTTTCCTTGGACTGGCATCGTACTTTCGCCGCTGCATTCGTAACTTTGCCACTA